GCAACAAACTGTGCTTCTCAGAAATCTAGTCTAGCATCAATCAATCATGAAAAACACTGTTTACAATTTTTAAATTAGAATGCAACAAACTGTGACTCTCAAAAATCTATCTTAGTCTCAATCGATCAAGAAAAATACTGTTTGCAACATTTAAATTTGAAAACATCAAATTGTGCCTCTCCGAAATCTGTTTTTAGCCTCAATCGATCATGAAAAACACTGTTTGTAACATTTGAAAATAAAATCAACGAACTGTGCGTCTCGGAAATCTATCCTAGCCTCAATCGATCTTGAAAAACACTGGTTGCAACATTCAAATTAGAATGCAAAAAACTGTGCCTCTCAGAAATCTGTTCTAACCTGAATCGATAACAAAAAACACTGGTTGCCATATTAAATTAGAACGCAACAAACTGTGCCTCACAGAAATTTAGCCTAGCCTCAATCGATCATGAAAAACACTGGTAGGAACGTTTAAAATAGAAAAAAAAGTTGTACTTCTCGGAAATCTATTCTAGCCTCAATCGATCATGAAAAAGACTGGTTGCAACAATTAAATTAAAACGCAACAAACTGTGCTTCTCAGAAATCTGTTCTTGCCTGAATGGATCACAAAAAAACACTGGTTGCAACATTTAAATTAGAATCCAACAAACTGTGCCTCTCAGAACTCTATCCTAGCCTCAGTCGATCATGAAAAACACTGGTTGCAACATTCAAGTTTGAAAAGAACAAAATGTGCCTCTCAGAATTCTATTCTAGCCTCAATCAATCATTAAAAAAACTGTTTGCAACAAATCAACAAAAAATCAACAAACTGTGCCTCTCAGGAATCTGTTCTTGCCTGTATGGATAAAAAAAACACTGGTTGCAATATTTAAATTAGAATGCAACAAACTGTGCTTCTCAGAAATCTATCCTAGCCTCAATCGATCATGAAAAACACTGGTTGCAACATTTAAAGTTGAAAAGAACAAACTGTGCCTCTCAGAATTATATTCTAGCCTCAATCAATCATGAAAAACACTGTTTGCAACAAATAAACAAAAAATCAACAAACTGTTTCTCTCAGTAATCAATTCTAGCCACAATCGATTTCAAAAAACAAAACACTGGTTGCCTCTCAGAAGTCTATTCTGGAATCAATCGATCATGAAAAACACTGGTTGCAACATTCAAGTTTGAAAAGAACAAAATGTGCCTCTCAGAATTCTATTCTAGCCTCAATCAATCATTAAAAAAACTGTTTGCAACAAATCAACAAAAAATCAACAAACTGTGCCTCTCAGGAATCTGTTCTTGCCTGTATGGATAAAAAAAACACTGGTTGCAATATTTAAATTAGAATGCAACAAACTGTGCTTCTCAGAAATCTATCCTAGCCTCAATCGATCATGAAAAACACTGGTTGCAACATTTAAAGTTGAAAAGAACAAACTGTGCCTCTCAGAATTATATTCTAGCCTCAATCAATCATGAAAAACACTGTTTGCAACAAATAAACAAAAAATCAACAAACTGTTTCTCTCAGTAATCAATTCTAGCCACAATCGATTTCAAAAAACAAAACACTGGTTGCCTCTCAGAAGTCTATTCTGGAATCAATCGATCATGAAAAACACTGGTTGCAACATTCAAGTTTGAAAAGAACAAAATGTGCCTCTCAGAATTCTATTCTAGCCTCAATCAATCATTAAAAAAAACTGTTTGCAACAAATCAACAAAAAATCAACAAACTGTGCCTCTCAGGAATCTGTTCTTGCCTGTATGGATAAAAAAAACACTGGTTGCAATATTTAAATTAGAATGCAACAAACTGTGCTTCTCAGAAATCTATCCTAGCCTCAATCGATCATGAAAAACACTGGTTGCAACATTTAAAGTTGAAAAGAACAAACTGTGCCTCTCAGAATTATATTCTAGCCTCAATCAATCATGAAAAACACTGTTTGCAACAAATAAACAAAAAATCAACAAACTGTTTCTCTCAGTAATCAATTCTAGCCACAATCGATTTCAAAAAACAAAACACTGGTTGCCTCTCAGAAGTCTATTCTGGAATCAATTGATCATGAAAAACACTGTTTGCGTTTGCAACATTTAAATTTGAAATCAACAAACTCTGCTTGTCAGAAATCTATTCTAGCCTCAATCTATCATGAAAAACACTGGCTGCAATATTTGAATTAGAACGCAACAAAATATGTCTCTCAGGCACAAAACTCAAGCTGTGCCTCTCAGAAACCTATTCTAGCCTCAGCAATCATGAAAAACACTGGCTGCAACATTTAAATTCAAACGCATCAAACTGTGCTTCTCAGAAATCTAGTCTAGCATCAATCAATCATGAAAAACACTGTTTACAATTTTTAAATTAGAATGCAACAAACTGTGACTCTCAAAAATCTATCTTAGTCTCAATCGATCAAGAAAAATACTGTTTGCAACATTTAAATTTGAAAACATCAAATTGTGCCTCTCCGAAATCTGTTTTTAGCCTCAATCGATCATGAAAAACACTGTTTGTAACATTTGAAAATAAAATCAACGAACTGTGCGTCTCGGAAATCTATCCTAGCCTCAATCGATCATGAAAAACACTGGTTGCAACATTCAAATTAGAATGCAAAAAACTGTGCCTCTCAGAAATCTGTTCTAACTTGAATCGATAACAAAAAACACTGGTTGCCATATTAAATTAGAACGCAACAAACTGTGCCTCACAGAAATTTAGCCTAGCCTCAATCGATCATGAAAAACACTGGTAGGAACGTTTAAAATAGAAAAAAAAGTTGTACTTCTCGGAAATCTATTCTAGCCTCAATCGATCATGAAAAAGACTGGTTGCAACAATTAAATTAAAACGCAACAAACTGTGCTTCTCAGAAATCTGTTCTTGCCTGAATGGATCACAAAAAAACACTGGTTGCAACATTTAAATTAGAATCCAACAAACTGTGCCTCTCAGAACTCTATCCTAGCCTCAGTCGATCATGAAAAACACTGGTTGCAACATTCAAGTTTGAAAAGAACAAAATGTGCCTCTCAGAATTCTATTCTAGCTCAATCAATCATTAAAAAAAACTGTTTGCAACAAATCAACAAAAAATCAACAAACTGTGCCTCTCAGGAATCTGTTCTTGCCTGTATGGATAAAAAAAACACTGGTTGCAATATTTAAATTAGAATGCAACAAACTGTGCTTCTCAGAAATCTATCCTAGCCTCAATCGATCATGAAAAACACTGGTTGCAACATTTAAAGTTGAAAAGAACAAACTGTGCCTCTCAGAATTATATTCTAGCCTCAATCAATCATGAAAAACACTGTTTGCAACAAATAAACAAAAAATCAACAAACTGTTTCTCTCAGTGATCAATTCTAGCCACAATCGATTTCAAAAAACAAAACACTGGTTGCCTCTCAGAAGTCTATTCTGGAATCAATCGATCATGAAAAACACTGGTTGCAACATTTAAATAAGAAAACAACAAACTGTGCTCTCAAAAACCTGTTCCAGCCTCAATCGAACATGAAAAACACTGGTTGCAACGTTTAAATTAGAACGCAACAAACTGTGTCTCTCAGAAATCAATTCTAGCCACAATCGATCACAAAAAAAACACTGGTCGCCTCTCAGAAGTCTATTCTAGCCTCAATCGACCATAAAAAACACTGGTAGAAACATTTATATTAGAAAAATAACTGTGCTTCTCAGAAATCTATTCTAGCCTCAATCGATCAAGAAAAGCACTGGTTGCAACTTTTAAATTAGAACGCAACAAACTGTGCTTCTCAGAAATCTGTTCTAGTCTGAATCGATCTCAAAAATCACTGGTTGCAATATTTAAGTTAGAACGCAACAAATTATGCTTTTCAGGAATCCATTCTAGCGTCAATCGATCATGAAAATCACTGTTGTCAACATTTAAATTATAAAGCAGCAAACTGTGCCTCTGAGAAATCTATTCTAGCATCATTCGATCATGAAACACACTGATTGCAAATTTAAATGAGGAAGCAAGAAATTGTGACTCTCAGAAATCTATTTTAACCTCACTCGATCATGAAAAACACTGTTTGCAATATTTAAATAAGAAAGCAACAAACTGCCTCTCAGAATTCTATTCCAGCCTCAATCGATCATGAAAAACACTGGTTGCAATATTTAAATGAGAAAGCAACAAATTGTGGCTCTCATAAATCTATCCTAGCATCAATCGATCATGAAAAACACTGGTTGCAACAATTAAATATGAAAGCAGCAAAATGTACTTTTCAGAAATCTATTCTAGCCTCAATCGATCATGAAAAACACTGTTTGCAACATTTAAATTAGAAAGCAATAAACTGAAACTGTGCTTCTCAGAAATCTATTAGGGTAGTGTGCAGTTAGTAATCAGAGTTGCTTAAATGGTTGGTTAGTTTAGTAGATTTGAATGGTGGACCTAGTTAACATCCTCCCCCACCCCAAATAGACCAAGTTAAGATCCTCCACCCCAGCGCCTAATTTGAATTAAACTTGCTAAGCGCTGCATGTAAAAATCTCGATTGTGATTGGCTGAAAAATCCCAACTTAGAACCATGTTAACATCCTGCCCCTCCAAACGGCTCTGGGGGGAGGATGTTAACTTGGTCCGAAATGGTTTTGAAGATAATAAAATTAATGAAATAACTAAAAAGAATACAAAAAAGGACAGTTAAAGGGATCAAATTAACTAACATCCTCCTCCACCACCCCCCCCCCCCCCACACACACACACACACACACACATATATATATATATATATATATATATATATATATAGAGTTAAAATCCTCCACCTCAGCATTTAATTTGGATTCAACTTGGTGAGAGCTGCCAGTAAATTGCTTGATTCTGATTGGCTGATTCCACCTCAGAACCAAGTCAACCAAATTAAACGATCTTTTTGGGGGGGGGGGGTTGGAAGGATGTTAACTTTGTTTAATTGAGGTATAATGAGAGTGCAAAAACACATCATAAATCACTCATATAGTCTTTCCCGTCGAAAAATGCTGCAATGAGGTTTCTTATTGATAAAACTGACCCTGTCACAGAACCACAAATTCCCATGACCAACAAAAGCACAACAATTACTTTGTAAGCGAGTTTTCGTCTAACTGATACTGTGTGGTTGCTGTAGAGCGAGAAATGGAACACGATTGCAGGCAGTGTAAATGTTAATGTTGAACATGCAAAACATCCAATCAGTTCAGTAAACGTGCCGAGCTTCGGGACGATAATTGCGGCGAGGAATGTACAAATTACCAATGAGATTCGAAGCAGATACTCTCTTATAGTTTCATCGCATTTCGGGAACTTTTCTTTCACCCAAGGCATAAAAAGTCGAACAGGAACTATAAACTGTATCGCATATGTTATGAAAATCACAAAAGCAAACATAAATTTGGTGAGTGCAAAATACCAAGTTTTTGGTAAGTTGAGAGTGATAGAGGCTTGAATACTATGGCCAAACATTTCATAGCCCAGAATCCCAAAAACTAAGGAAAAGGAAAACACTATTAACAACCCAATGTTGAGCACGCGTTTGAAGTGTTCTGGTTTTCGCATTTTGTTTTCCAAGGGAAGTAAATTTGCTATTCCTTCTAGGGAGTATGATATGATTCCAAAACAGAGAGGTAGGTTCGAGAGGGATTCGAACGCGGGCAGGTGTGTGGTGGGTTTGGGCGCTTGGAGGAAGACCTCGTAGATGATGACTCCCAATCCAAATGCGAGCAGAAAATTGGCCAGCGCTGATAGCACGGCAAGATAGGCTGTAACAGATAAAACTGTAAGAATATTGACCTGCTTTGGATGGCGCCAGTGGTTCTGTCCATTGCAGTGGCGGATAACGGAGGGGGTGGTGGGTTGGGCCAATTTGGGCGGTCGCTTTCTTTTTCCTTCCGCGATTCGACCCCCGGACCACCCAAAAGGTCTTCCCTTTTAGATACTATTTTGAAATATCCATTTTGGGCTGACCGACCCTACAATTGGCCTTTGGCATCAAAAACACTTATTTAGATGTGAAGTCAAAAAAACGAGACTTTTTGGTTAAAACCTTCCAAAAAGTGCCAAAAAACTTTTTTTCCTGTTTTCTTAATGCCTGCAGCGCAAAAAAATGGGCAAAATAGTGTCTGTATAGTAATTTGTGAGAGCTCGGAATATCAATTTAGTCGAGCTATTAAAATGTCGACAAAATTTTTCGAAAATGTTTTCAAAATACGCTCACTCTCGAGAAATTTGTAGATCCGCTCATGATGCATTGGGTTCGATTTTGAGACTAGTCCTCGTAAAGACTACACTAAAGGTCAAAACAGATTAACTCACCCAAGTTGCGTATGAGGCAGAGAAGAGCTACGGGAACAAATAGACAGCATGTTATTAATCTGACGTCGAATTGATTTTGGACACCGTAGTCTTTGAGAACAAAACCTAAATTCTGCGCCATGAAGATCAAATAGACAGCGCAGAACCCCAGTTGAGTTATAACAAGTAGAATATTGGTAGCCTTTTTTGCGATGGGGCCATACTTCTGAAGATATTCAAAAGGGCCATGACGTAACACACTCTCCACTAAGTCGCCATAGTCCATAAATGACCTCTGCTCTATTTTACACATGTGGCGACATGCGTCTACGAGGAAGTTCACTGCACAAAAGGCCATAACGATTGTAAAGGCCATGAATAGTGGACCGCTTACACAACCCACTAGAGAGAATGCATAAGGAAGGGCTAATATGCCAGTGCCCACATAACCCTGAAACAAAAAAGTTGCAAACAATTTTTTCAAACCTAGAAGATAATCCATCAGTTTTCTAAAACGTGTTTATTCAGCAAAATTTTGGATCTATTCTAATACTAAAATCTAACAAGATTAGCCGGTTACTTTGCATATAGCACAGAACGTCTTCAGAAAACTACGATTTAGAAAGTTTTCTTTTCCAAATTAGTGTAGTTTTTTCTGCTTGGTGTGATAAAAAGATCTGACGTAAAAATATAATTTCAGCATATTAGAGAGTTATAGTAAAATAGGTCGGGATGGTAACTGATAACCTTTTGCGTAACCCCAGAAATATGGGTCCACGGGGTCTGAGATTTTAAACTTAAGCTTCTTTTAACTATAACTTTTTGGTCTATAGCTTGCTAATTTTTGGTCAATAGTGAGTACCAAGCTTCGTACTACTCACCAGCGTTACTATAATTTTTGCAATTCTCAAGATTATGCTTTCTCAGTTGAAATTTTTGTTTACCGAGGATCACCAAACCTACAGTTTTCAATGCGGTTTCTTAATATGGGTAATTTAAACTGCAGTGTCTGTCGGCTGAGCTGCGCCATTTTGTTTTGGTCAGTCAAAGAACTTTTAACACGGAGATGGCAAAAAAACATACTTTTTTGTTAAGGCGTAGCACTGAATGGTGTACCCAAGTATCCCCAACTGCATCTCAAAATTTTTTCACTTACAGTTTCTCGGATTTTTTGGAAAAAAAAATCGAAACAACCTGGGCATCAGCAGTTGTTTTAGGGGAGAGGACGACGCTTCCCTCCTCACCCCTACAATTTTCCGAAGGCGCCTTTTGCGCTCATATGCATATTTTTTGAGATTGGAGCACGCGGCAAAAGAAAACCAATGTTTTGGTTAAAATTATCTTAAAAATTTCCAAAAAACACTTTTTAGCCTGTTTTTTCAAATATTTGCCTGCGGCGTCAAAAATTTGCAGGCAATAGGGTCCTTGCAGTGACTTGAAAGTTTGGGAGAGGTCAAAAATTCAATTTGGTCTACCTAAAATTTTTTTCGAAAAACAGCCTTCCCCCTCGAGAAAATTTTAGATACGCCCCTGTTGCTTGCCATACAGAAATTCCGCCTCTGAACTAGAAATTTTTACATCTAAATCATTGGCATAAAGTTTACAAGTGGACTACTTCAACTTTTTACTCCTTTAGTTTTTTTTTTTACTCTCTTAGGCAAGTGTCAAAGTTTCAGTTGAAATATTTTGAAAGCAAAAGCTAAAAAACTCTTGTTTGCCCATATCTGCCAAAAATCACCTTGGTCACATGAGCTAGACATTGATACCACGTGATCAGATTGTCTCCACTTCTCTCCTCCCCCAAAAGGGACTCCACACTATTCTTACTCAGCAAATCAATCTCGGAGTCTGGCGTCTTTAGTTTCCGAGCAGCTGCGCGTTTTTCATTCTCTCGTTTGGATTCTTCTGAGCTCTGAAGTCCAGAAGAGGATAGTTTTCGGGGAGCATTCGATGAGCTGATTTTCCGACGCGGTTTCGAAGTGTTGTTCCTTAAAAACAAAGCAACATCTATTTTGTGCTGATTTAGGCTCTTAAGTTTTTCCTCCCGCAGTATCAGCCAGTTGCAGCCATATTTTTGGCGTTTCTAATTTTAACATTGGAAACCGCTTTCAATTGTTTTTAAGGTGATAAGCATTTTTTGAAACTTAAAAAACAACTTTCTGGGTTTTAAAACTAGAAATCTCAAGACTTCTAATATTGTCAGCAATTTGACATCACTAAAAATATTTAATTTAAGCCAACGGTTTTCTTTATAAATTTAATAAACGTTTGGTGGTTAAATAGCCTGATCTAGACAATCAATTGAACTCCTCGTTCGAATTGCAATTGTAGATCTTGATCTAATTTGAATGATGAAATTTCAGAATGCTGACTGTTCCAAGAAAGAATTTTCACAATTTCTACTTACGTTGTCGAATTCGGTGCCACAAAATCTCTTGAGTGTGATTGTTCCTCATGAATTGCATCAGAGCCATCAGCTTTATTTTCTCCCTCTTCCAGCGAATCTTCACAGCTATCTTGAACATCATCTGCATTGGTGTGCTCTAGGTCAACTTGGGCGGATCCATGGGCAGGTGGGGAACTCTTTTCTGAGAGGTCAGAAGCAATAAGAGGAGTCTTTTCATCTGCCATTATTTTGTTGAGTTGATAAACAATGAACAATTTTTCTGATTACATGATTAGCAGATTCAGTTCACTTTATAAGCAGTACTACTCGCTTGACTCAATCAAAAGAAAGACCAAGCCAACACACATTAAAAAATACAATTAAAAATCAAGCGACTGAACCAAATTTTGTTAGTTTATAACTTACAGGCGATCAGTTTTCATCGAAAACATTTTTAATCAATTTGTAATTCTTGTTTGCTTCTTGACGGATGCTTTCTCACACAAAATCAAATAGCCTAAATTATCTATTGGATGAAACTATCTGATGAAAAGCTGAACTTTTTGCCTTTTCCTCCTCATCGCAAAAAAATCAAAAAGCGCAGAAATAATTTTGCTATTTTTCTTAATATGTTTTCCATTTACATTTTTGGGCGTAAAATTTTGGAATAATTGCACTGCAACTGCCTATTTTGTTGAGTAATATTTTTATTCTAATTAAACGGTTAAAATTTTTGTTTCGACTCCGAATTTCTTTCGACCGAATTTGTTTCGACTCTTCTCCACTTGTGTTTCGCCTCATTTTTGTTTCCACTTTGCTCGATCTATGATTCGACTGCTATCGGACGTGTTTTGTTAGTGAAAAAAAGTATTTGGTCAGTTCTCAACCTTAGGTGTTGACTTTTGCGCGATCTAAAATTATTAACTTTTGTTTTAGATGTGTTCAACCTAATTACAGACTGTGCTCGAATTCGATTTTTCTGGACCTGCAGTTACTGTGATAGAACAACCCTCTAGCAACATCTATTAATTGGTCAAGAAAAGAAGCATTCGTTTTCTAGATGGGTTGCATTGCCTCCAGATTCAAAAGATGAGCACGTGCACGGCACTGGCTCATTACACAGAAATTTGCCATACTTCCATTCCAACCTGGCTCAGAATTGCTTACGGCTTAACTCGTCACTGATGTTAACTTTGTTTGAAAAAAAGTACATAACTTCCCGGAACTCTTCATCTTTTTTTGCAAAACTCCTGTTTCAGTATATTAAGTTTTTTTTAGCACCATCGGGTCAAAAATTTCCAATTCACATAAAGACTTGATTCTATGTTATTTTTTCTTGAGTTTCTCCACTTTAGGTGCTGTCTAGTTTTGCTGATTTGTTTTTCCTGATAACTAGAAATTGCTTCCCAATTGTCGCTAGTTTTTTGAGATTCCCCCATTTCTCGATTTATCTGTTAGTGTTGGGCCGCATATATATCATTTATATTCCTACTTAATTTTTATGAGTTTCTGAGTTAGGTAAATGTCATGGCGCAGCCAGCAATTCCTGCTAATGATGACAGGGCGAACCTCCCGTGGTTTCCTATCTTTTGGGGAAAACCTTCAATCTCTCCGCCGTTCAGTTGGGATAGCTGGTTCGGGCAATTCAGCCTCGCGATAAAGTGTAAGACAACTTTAATGTGTCTGACATGCTAGTAGACACAGACAATGTACACGATGACCCCCCGCATAGACCCGAATCCAAATCAGGACAGAAGTCAGAACAGGAAAAAGATAATCGCCTCAAAAGAGAACCAGCTGCAGCTTGATCGGTGCAGGAAGTGAACTATGAACGGAAGAAAAGGGCCAGTTATCGAGATGAGCTGGTTCCTCCATGAAGCAGAAGCCAAAACACTTTCGCTATTGTCCGTGAAATGAAGGCAGGAAAAAGATAGTTCTAGCTTTCCCTCAAGCTATTCTAAATCTATTGTCGTTTGTGGACTTCAACAAAAATTGTGTCTATGTATATAAATTGGAGATAAATAATACCAAGGAACACATCAATTTATACAACACGTAGTACATGGAATCAAATGCATCCTTTTTGTCGCTCAAGTCAAGGGTGTCAACACAGGCAGCGTGCTGTAATTGAACCGATGAGGAAGAACATAACGTGGTCATGGACCTAAAAATTGGTTAATCGAGCTACGGGGATGTTATATGAAAGAGCACTGAAATTGTGAAATTTGCGTTAGAACTGAAAAAGGTGCCACAGCTTCCATAGATTTTCAGAAAAGCTTACCAAACAATAGAGGAACGTACACAAATAATTTTCCCAAAAAAATGGAACATACTTTCTCCGCTCAATCACGTAGAGGGGTGGTCAAGGTTTCAATCACGTAGAGAGGATGATAGAGGGGTGGTGAAATTGGGGACGTGAATTTTCGTGAAAGATAAAAGTTCAGATGGTGAAAGTTCGCAACGTCGAGTAAACAGAAAAACCGTAATTGGTCAAGATGTAGATGGCAAACCAGAATAAGATGTCCTAAACGTGCAGCAGCGCAAAAAAAACGGGTTAGGATCCAGATAACTAGCTTAGAGTTTTTAAAGTCAAATAGGAGGTAGCCCGCGCAGTTTGAGTGTAATGCTACACTCATGAGCGAAATCGTTTGATAAGACGGTCAATGCGGGTATTAAATAAACAAACAGCGGGTAACCTGATGCGTCAAACCCAGTGGCGAAATCATGAGCGTTAAGAAGCTACCAGGAAACATTGCGTATGTAGGTTATACCAAAATCTCAATCATAGCTTACGATAGTCTAACCATCCCCATGTCATCTGAAGGCAGGCTGGAAACATCAAAATGTTGTTTTTATGGTGCCTGAGAACAGAACTCGTTGTTTTTTGGTCTTAGATTTTCAAAAGTCAATAGGAAGTTAAACAATTTAACGGAACCCACTCATCACCATAACCCGAGTGCGGAAAGCGGCGGAAAATTTTTCCTCCGACCTGGTCAAAGCAAGAAACCGAGCAAAATTTCTTTCGCTTCTCGTTTTTTTTTCAATTCGGTGGAGTTGATATAAAGTATTAACGAGTTAGAATTGCTCGAGGTGGTTTGGGCATGTGAACAATTCCAAACGTATCTTATCGGTATTATATTTGTTATGCTTATGGACTACAAGACTATCATTTCTGCCCTAAAAAAACATAAAAGTAACAAGCCGTATCAATTCCGGCTAACACGATGGACAGACTGACTTTTGTCGTTCGATTATGATATCAGACATATACCAGGAGCTACCTTAGGAATGGCCAATTATTTTACTCAAAATCCTACCTTCGAAACCCCCTTGTTCCGTTTATGAAGAACTATTTGTGGTAAAACTATTGAAAATTTCACTTCAGCGTGCATTTTCATCCCAGCATTTTCATCGCAGTTATCGTTGAATATGAGCCCAGTAGAACCAATCCTCGTTTCGATTATAACGGTAGAGTAGACGAACGAGCCTCCGCGTTTACTGAGAAAATTGGGCCAGTCAGGTCATTGTAATTTTCCAGGATTTGGTCCACAAGAGGGCGACCATACTCTCACAACACAATTCGACCAATCAGATTCGAGCTCAAAAGCGAGTCCGAAGCCAGTAGTGCTCGGTGTAAGAAACGCTCGAATTAAAGAATAGGCAACGCCATCAGCCGCTAGATATAGCTCCAATGACACCTCCAGCTTTAGCAAATCCGAGCCAAGCACTGTTTCAAGTCATTTCACGCTGGAGGGACTTCATAATTTCACGGGAAAGCTCGCCCATAAAATTCGAGATGTTTGTCACGTCAATGGCGCTAGAGGGACAAAAAATTTTGACGGGAAACTTCAGCCAATCAGAGACGAGAATCAATCGGACCATAAGTCGATAGAGGGCGACTGGTCATGCAACCCGGATATCAACCAATCAGATTCGAGAATTTTAAAATCAAAATCTTAAGGTTATTTCAGATCATTTCTAAATGAGTTTCCGGGCGAGAAAGGATGACTAGAGTTGGACCTCACAGAACCCTCTCCACCCTCTCCACTAGATTGCACACTTCATCGAGAAGTGTAGGATGAAAAGACTCACTAATCGATCAAGATCTCTTCTACTAATTTTTCGCAGGACAGGAAAGTTACAGTGGACAATGACGTGCAGAGTTTCTCTAACTAAGGCCAAAGCATCGCACATATTTGGCCAGTGGCGTCGGTGATAGATTACTGCGTCCTGATTGACAACAATTTGGTGATCCCGATGAAACTGCGTTCAGCGATCTTGACGCGACTGCATAGTTCTCACCAGAGAGAAAAGGCTATGATTGAGGCACTCGAGTACATCAGGTGGGCTTTTCTGAATCTTCTTATAGTTTAAAAAGACCAGGTGTGTATGGAATGCACAAAGTTCGGTTATGAACCTAAAATCTTTAAATACAGAAACTATCACAGATGTCACTATCGCTTCTGGGAATTTTCGTGACTTTTAAAGAAATGCAATTAGACTTCTGATGCCCGTTAACCAACAAAGAAGGAACTTTTTTATCTGAGTTGCCATAGACACTTTTCTCAAATTTTCCCTCTCTTCTACTCATTAAAAATACCGACTCTAAAACGATAGTCAACTTTCATCAAAGCGTAAATAATAATGCTTGGCATTCCAAAATCCATTTGCACGGACCACGACACCTGATTTAAAAATGGGAGTGTTAGGAGGGTTCTGTCAAAAAAACAGATTTTTTCCCTGTCTGAGACCATCGTAGTGGCGGGTTAGTGGAACGGTCGATCCAAACGATAAAGCGTACGTTGAGCACAGAAAAATTGAATTCATATAACGCTGAACTGACTCGCGTACTTCAAACGATCCTGGATGATATCTGGAAGTTTAAACACGATTCTCTCATCAAGTCTCGGATTGAGCTAAAACTTTGTCAAAAACCACAGACAAAAATGTCATTGGTTAAGGATAAAACACTTGAAAATACTTCTTCAGATTAAAGAGTCTTTGCAAGAAGTCTTTTGAAAGCCAAAAAAGACACATCCAAGACTACAACCGCGACAGAAGGAAAAGGTAAAACGCAGAACTGACAGTGGAGACGTTTTGCCGTTTTTCACTAATGTGGACCCGATCAAAAGATCGAGGACACGGCAAAGTCAAGGCGCTAGAGGAGCTTGCACAAGCATCCAACAGGTGGAGCCAGTTGGTACGTAACATCAATGTGGAGACTGGAAGGAATTTAATGAAAAAACTTGGGGCCAGAAAAAAAACGAGGATTCAAACGCGCTCAAGACCGGCCTCACTATGATAACGTTTAGATTCTACGATCGAGTCGAGATTAATATCCGGGTCAAT